TTGGATAAAGAACACATTTGTTTTTAATGTTATCTCTCTCCACTATTATACTTTATTTCACACTCATAGACTTCTGAAATTTTGGGGGTTTTAAATTTTTTTAATTTTAATGAGAAAAAAAGATAAAATAGCAATGAAACAGTTTCAAAACAGGTTAGTAGGATGTTTACAATAATTAATACATTGCATATTGTTGTCTTGTAGTAGTTTTGAAGGATTTTTTTTTTTTTTGCTCCAAATGCCCTTAGGGCAGGTTTGGCTGGCTTGAGTTGTGGGGTTCGAACCACAGCAACCTGAGCCTGACTGCTTTGTTGAAGCAGCCACTTAAAGAACTGAGATATGGGGCAGGCCCCCTCTTTAGTCATTCTTTGTTGTGAAAGTATTACACGTCTCCACTAAACATGAAAGAGACTTTTGCAGGGTATACCAGTCTGGGTTGTGGAATTTTCTTTCTTGTAGGACTTGAAATACTATGCTCCATGTTCTTCTTCACTGATGGCTTGTGAAGAGAGATCTGCCATTATTGTGAAGGTTTTCCTTTTTCATTATTGTGATCAGTTTCTTTTCTCTAGCAGCTTTTAGTATGCTGTTCTTGTGCTGAATTTCTGGGATCTTGATTATTATATGCCTGGGTGTGGTTTTAATTGGGTTGATGTTATTTGGAGTTCTATATGATTTGGTTACCTGAATGTCAGATTGTTTCCCCATATTTGGGAAGTTTTCTGCTATAATTTCTGCCCATATTCTTTTTATATCATTTGTATTGACTCCTTCTTTCTCATTGATGCCTATTAGTCTTACATTGTTCATCTTTGAATCATCTTTCAGATGCTGCATTATTTTTTCCTGCATCCGAGATCTTTCCTTACTTTTTCACTAGGTGCAACAGTGTCTTCAGGGTCTGAAAGTATAGCTTCACTTTCATTCAGATGTTTTTGCCAACTTTTAATTGAGTTTTTAATCCCCTGAATATCTCTGAATCTACTTCATGCATTCTATTTCTTTTCTATATTGCTGATTCAAGGTTCCCATCATTTTTCTACTGTCTTTTTTTAGGTTTTGTGTGTGTGTGTGTGTGTGTGTGTGTGTGTGTGTTTTCAGGGTCTCATTACACAGCCCAGGCTCAGTGATCCTCCTGATTTCTGCCTCTCTAGTGCTGGGATTACAGGTGTGCACCACCACGCCCAGGATCCATTGCCTGCTCAGCACACCCGGAGATGGGGCTGACGCAGCATGTGGAGTCAGTCTGTTGTCTTTTTTTTTTTTTTTTTTTAGTGTCTTCTTTAGAAATGCTTAGTAATTTTTTCATTATAGTTGTCATTTCTTTTTTTGTGTGTGTGGGGGGAGATTGTTTCTAATCTGATTTCCTCTGAAGCCTTCTGCAGTTGTTTCTTTACTTCAGATGATATTATTTCAGAGATTTCAGATGTGTGACCTCTAATTTCTTCTATGCTAGTGTCCCCTGCATTTGTTCTGAGTGGGCTCGGGACCTGAGATTGCATTTTGCTCCTTCTCTTTGTCATTTTATATTTCAGAGAGAATTATTTTGCATTTTGTGATACTTTTTTGTGAAAGTTCGATAGTCATTAGCTGTGTCACTGTGATCAGAGCCTCTCTGTAAAGAGTCTGTTCTTTAGGCATCTCTTCTGAGTCAGAGATTCTTATTTTGTGTGTGTCCTAAGATTTTGCCCTGTGGGGGGTGATGGAATGCTTCTCTTACACCCTCCCTTATTTGGGCAAGAAATGCTGCAGCACCAATCCCTGCTTGCCTTGGCGTCTTCCTGTGGTCCCGGACCTTTGCTACCAATCTGCAAGTAGTCCCACCCAACTACTTCTGCTATATGGCTATTTAGACCCTGCTCACTTCCTCAATAAATGAGACTTGATCAGAAAGCCTGTCTTGTCTCCGTCTCTCGTGACTCTTGCCCTGTCTTGTTCATCCCCATTCCTCCTCCAGATAATCACCCCACGTCTTGACTCATGGGACGAATCAAGTGGCACCCAACATGGGGCCTGGCATGGGGGATTCAACGAGGGAGCCATTCGAGAGCCTGAGTATGAAGCAGAAAATGAAAGTAAATTCCGAGGCCAATGCCATACAAGTGCCTGCTGCATTGCCAGAGCCATGGTGAGTGAACAGCAGCCCCCTTCCCCTTCTCCGGCGTGGGTCAAGCATTAAGCAAGCATGAGCTCTTTGTAGAAAGCCTTAGCAAGGCACTTAAGACATGAGGTATTAAGGTAAAGGAAAAGGATTTATTACAATATTTTAAGTTTATTCATAAGGTTTGCCTGTGGTTCCCATTGGAGGGCACGATCGATTCTAAAAGATGGAAACGAGTGGGCGATGCATTACAGGATTTTTATAGAGTTTTTGGCCCTGAAAAGGTCCCCGTCACAGCCTTCTCATACTGGAATCTAATTGATGAGATACTTACGCAGCGACATGGGGACCCCTTGGTCAGGGAGATGATTACCCAGGGGGAGGCTGCCCTGCGTAACTTGAACAGACCCACTCTGTCCCCCTCTCAGGCTGATTCAGATGTCTCCTCTCCCTCTGATGAGGAAGCAAACAAAATGTTGGAGAAACACCAAAATGGCGATCAGCCGCCACTTCCTCCTTTTGAGCCCTTGCCATCTGCCCCTCCCCCACCCGCCACTGCCCCCACCCAAGGCCCCTCTCCAAGCCCATCATAAGCCCTTATACCCCAATCTTGCCACCTTACAAGAGGTTGACTGGGGACAGTTAGCCGAGGAAGCCTCCAGGTATCATTCTGATCCTGTTACAGCTCCCCCAGATAATAATGACATGCCCAAACTTGCTCCTAACCCCTCCAATGTGCTTTTGGACCTGGAAAACCCAGTGCTTGAGAGGCTTACACTACAGTTACAATCTTTGCAGGCTGGTCAGACACGTGGCACCCCTAAGATGGCGCCTGGGCTTAATGGGCCTCTGCCCTCAAATGGTTTTTCCAGTTACGAAAGTTATGGCCCCAGCCCAAAATGGCGCCAAGCCTCAGGCTGTTAGAGCCCATGCCCCTTTTACCGTAACTGCACTGAAAGAATTAAAGACCGCAGTTGCTCAGTATGGCCCTCCCGCAGCTTATACCATCGCTGTCCTTGACTCTATGACTCAGGGCTGGATCATTCCCAAGGACTGGCAAGATTTAACTAAGGCACCTCTCTCGGGGGCAATTACCTCTTACAGAAATCTGAGTTTTTTGATCAATGTGAAATCATGGCGAAAGATAATGCCGATAATGGCAATCCTTGGACCTTTTCCATGCTTACCGGTACGGGTGATCATTCCACCAAGGAGGCTCAGATGCGCTATGATGCAGGTCTCTTTGCACAAATCAATTTGGCCGCGACCAGAGCATGGAAAAAACTCCCTTCAGAGGGGGAGCCAACTTCCTCACTTACAAAGATTCGGCGAAGACCAGAAGAGCCCTTTTCAGATTTTGTGGATCGCCTTTTACAGGCCGCTGAGCATCTCTTCAGCACCGCCGATGCAAGCTCTGACATTGTTAGACAGCTTGCTTTTGAAAATGCCAACTCAGCCTGCCAAGCAGTGATTAGGCCTCACAGAAAAAAGACCGATTTGTCCGATTACATACGTTTATGTGCAGATATTGGGCCTTCCTACCATCAAGGCTTGGCTATGGCTGCAGCTCAACAGGGCTGCACAGTTAAACAACTCCTTTCCCGCCAAAGGCAAAATAACAACTGCTTTACTTGTGGTCAGCCTGGTCACATAGCCAAAAATTGTAAAGGAGAAAATAACAAGGCCCAGGCTCAAATAAAAAAGTCTGGGTTATGTCCCCGATGTAAACGAGGTGAACATTGGGCCACAGAATGCAAATCCAAAAGAGACATACATGGAAATCCCCTACCCCCACAGCAGCAGAGAAATGGGACACGGGGCCAGCCCCAGGACCCCAAGCCCAAGCAATTCCTTGGGGTGACAGGATTTGTTCCAGTACAAAACAATCCATTTCACACCTTGTTAGGGCAACCCCAGGAAGTGCAGGACTGGACCCTCAGATCTACAAAGTTGACCCTAATGATGAGAGAGAACAGGGTCAAATAAAAAACAATATTGCAAACTACAGATTGTGGAAATAAGGTAGCATACCTTGTTACTAGAAAGAATAATAGCTCAGTGGTCAAATTACTCATTGGCAATGCAAATCCAAACCCCACGTCAGGCCTCAAGATAGCACCAAATTGATGGCATGCCCCAAAGAGTGCACGTCTGATAAGGACCAAAGGCACTCGACTTGTTATGAGGAGCTGTCAGAATGTGTGGGCCCGAATCATCGGACCTTCTTTACGGCCACACTACTTTGCACTCAACGCACTGTTCACAGCGGCGATTGGGCCAATGCCCCGCGAGTGCTTGGAAATAACAAGTACACTCAGGCCTCCTGTGAAGGGATGGTAGGAAAGTCTGTGTGTTGGTCAAAGAATGCCCCAATCCATGTTTCGGATGGATTTGGCCCCCAGGATCAGATCCGACAACAATATGTAGATCAAAGGTTGGAAGAAATTTGGAATCGTATGTTTCCTAAGAGCAATTATCCTCCTTTAGCTTTGCCTAAATCTAGAGGAACAGACCTGGATACTCAGACCGCGGATATACTTGCAGCCACCCATCGGGCCCTTAATTCCACTAACCCTGACATGGCAAAGGATTGTTGGCTGTGTATGACTATGGACACACCTATGCCCCTTGCTATTCCCTCCAATTCAACCCCCCAGGCTCTCACTGATCCTGCTAATTCTTCCTGTAGTCCCTCTTATCCCTTTGCAGTGCAGCCTTTGACTTATCCTGCCCCTTCTTGCCTTCAGGGCATTCACCAAGACAATGCAACCTCTATAGATGTGGGCTTCGTCACTTTTGCTTCCTGCAGGATGCTTTTTAACTACAGTGCTCCCCTTTGCCCCACAAGAGGGCAGGTGTTTGTTTGTGGGGCCAATATGGCCTATACTTTCCTCCCAACTAACTGGACAGGGCTATGTGTCCTGGCCTCCCTGTTGCCTGACATGGAAATCATTGTGGGTGATCAACCCATGCCCATGCCCACGTTTGATTCTATCGCCGGCCATCACAAGAGGGCGGTGGGATTAATCCCTATCTTGGTGGTACTGGGTGTTTCTAGGGCCCTAGCTACGGGCTCCGCTGGATTGGGAGTGGCGATGCATTCCTATGCCAAATTATCCAAGCAGCTGATAGATGATGTGCAGGCCCTATCCAGCACCATCCAGGATATTCAGGATCATGTTGATTCCCTGGCTGAGGTTGTCCTTCAGAACAGAAGGGGTTTAGACCTGCTAACTGCTGAACAGGGAGGAATATGTCTTGCCTTACAGGAAAGATGCTGTTTTTATTCCAATAAATCAGTCATAGTTCGAGACAAACTCCGGGAGCTTCAGGATCAACTACTCAAGCAGAGACAACAGCTTGCGGACGACCCCTTCTCGCTATGGGGAGGGATGTTCCCCTACCTTGTACCCCTGTTGGGACCCCTCTTTTCACTCGTGCTCTTGCTCATGGTAGGACCTTGCATTTTTCAAAAGCTTACATCCTTCATTAGTTCACACATAGATGCCTTTGCTGCAAAGCCCATTCAGATACATTATTATCAGCTGGAAATGGCAGATCAACAAGAGTATCATGAGAGGGTTCCCCTAAATGGACTCCACGATGATGTAGCCTAATCTGATATAGGCCCCACCCTGGTGAGATGGACAAGTAGTCAATGATGGGCAACTAGGACCCACATGCAGCACCGCCGACCACCTAAGACAGGAACAGGGCCTATTGCTGCCCTGCAATCCCAAGACAGGTAAGTCTGGTCGATCTCATGTGAAGGAGACCTTGACCCAAGCCAGGCATTGTCCCCTCAGGGCACTGTCATTTTCCCGCTTGATGTAATTAATAAGAAAGGGGGACATGTGGGGGGCGATGGAACGCTCCTTTTACACTTTCCCTTATTTGGGCAAGAAATGCTGCAGCACCAATCCCTGCTTGCCTTGGCATCTTCCTGTGGTCCCAGACCTTTGCTACCAATCTGCAACTAGTCCCGCCTAACCACTTCTGCTATACAGCTATTTAGACCCTGCTCACATCCTCAATAAAGGAGACTTCATCAGAAAGCCTGTCTTGTCTCTGTCTCTCATGTCTCTTGCCCTGTCTTGTTCATCCCTGTTCCTCCTCCAGGTAATCACCCCACGTCTCGACTTGCGGGATGAGTCATTGCCCTCTCTGTTGATTGAGAGTGAGATATTGGTTTCTTTTTGGCACTGTCTGTCTTTCAGTAAAGAGCTTTGGTGAGGTTATTACCAAACACCTCCCACTATTACCCGAGAGAATATGTGGTTAAGGCAGATGTGGTTTTCTATTTACAGTTAAACAATTAGCAACATTAATAATGGGTAGTGAGACTTAGCAATTGAAAAACTTTTGTAACTAATGGGTTTGTATTTTAGACCATAAGAGCAAACAGTTTGGCTGTATAGCTAAGCAAATATTAAATTGGGAATTTTCATTTAATTAGTTCCCCTAAGTTCTGTCTGGTCACCTCCCCTTGATATACCTGGAGTTTTCCAGGCAGACTAGTTCACCCCAGTTACCTATTGCCACCTCTGTCTTGAGGGGATGCTCCCATAGATCTGGGTCTAGGTCTGGGCCCCACTAGGCCCACCTGTATGCCTCAGCTCACTGGGTCAGGATCTACTGAACTTGAACTTGACCAGGTGGGCCTGGCTCAGGTCTGGCTGCTGTGGTCAGCTTCTTACTGCTCTGGTTGGGGAAGTGAACCTGCTGTGCCCCACTGGCTAGATGTTCTGCTCCTGGTTTAGCTCATTGGGTCACTCTGCTGAAGTTCCACTGTCCAGTCCCAGACTGGGCCTCTCTGCCTGTATTGGTATATTTAATTGGTTATGGAAGCTAGCTGGATGTTCTTCAGTACCCTGTGTGACCCTACTCATGTTGTCATAATTAACAGACATTTTAATGCACATTTTTATCTCCATGATAAGAACAGCTATCAGAGACTAGCCATGGATGCACATGCTTCTAATCCCAGTGCCGGGGAGGCTGAAGACAGGAGGATGACTACAAATCCAAGCATAGTGAGTCCCTGTACCAAGTACATTAAAATAAAAAGAATGGCTATCATACCAGACATCATTTTTAGTCCCCTACTAGTATTATAGTTTCTGTTTGGCTCTGTTGAGGGGAGAACAACCTCTCCAGTGTGGTTTGCCTTCTTTCTGAAAGCATATTGCCTATCTTCATTGTTCCTGGACTCTTGTAGGGTTTCTTCTGTTTATCATGGTTGCTCTGGTTATTTTTTGCAATGATGGTCATCAGCAACTAAAATAGGTCCCTGAATTAGAGTGTTCTCTTCTGTCCCTGGGACCACCCTTAGGGGAAGGCTGTTTTGAATTAGAGTAGTAACAAGCACTTTGGGTTCAACCTGTAGGGCTTATTGGTGTGTGGAGCATGATTGTGGCTGAGGAATGCTGAGGTCCTTTGGAGTGATAGGTTTCTTTTTTATTTTTTATTTTCTTTTCAGAGAGTACAAAATGGTATCAAAAGAAAAAATATACAAGTGATGCATAATGTAATGTGATGCATAATGTATATGCAACCAGTTATTCATATTACCAGATACATGCAAGTAAAATTGGAAGAACAAAAAAAAGTGTATAAGAAATTAAGATAAAGCCTAAAAACAATTGAAAAAAGGAGACAAAACAAATTAAGTATTATCTGCTCTCTTTCCATAGACCAGCAGAAATGCACAGTACAGTTGTCCAAACCATCCTACTTACATACTTAGCTAAATCTCCTTCTCTCACCCCCTCTCTGTCTTCCTCAACTCAGTAACTCTTTCCTTCTGAATAAGTTTATTCCCTTTTCCTAGTATCTACTGTATCCTTCAGATTCCATTTTCTCTTTCAGATTCTCACACTAAGAAGACAATTTGATGTTTGCACTTGCAGGTCTGATTTATTTCACTGAAGAGAATGGTCTCTAATCGCATTGATTTACCAACAAAAGTCTCAAATTTATCTTCCTTTATAGCTGAATAATACTCCACTATGTAAGAATACCATGTCTTCTTTATCCATTCCTCAGCTGATGGACATCTGAGTTGTTTATAGGATTTAGATATGACAGATTACACAGCTATAAACATGGATGCACATATCCCACTGTGGTATGATGTTTTCAGTTCTTCTGGAAAAATACATAGGAGGGGAATAGCTGCCTCGAATGGGATTGCCAGTCTTAGCTTTTGAAGGAATTGGAGCAGTAGGTTTCTGAGTCACCTGGAGGAGATGGGTCTGACTCACTGGCCTGGGGGTTTGAAAGATGAGGCCACAGAGGATTCCTAGTGTGGTGATCTTGGCAGATAATAAAGCTGCATCTCTGTGAGAGAAAGATCGGTGTCTCAGGACAATGCCATTTAAGATAACCTCCTCCTCCTCAGGGACACCCAAATACTTATAGTTCCTGAGCATTACCTTTTTAAAAAATTATTTTATTGAGAAACAAATAACAATGAGACCATTTCAAAACTGATTAATAGGACATTTTCAATAATTAATACATTGTACATTGTTATCTTCTTAGTGGTTATCTATACAAGATACAGACAGGATATCCTGTCCAAGCACTATTAGTACAAATCTTTCTTCTCATCGATTTAAGTGAAAGTAGCTATATATCTATCCTAACTATTCTGTATATACAGATACAGAATGGTCCTTCCTTTGTATCCCCTTTTTTTGTTTAGTCCTGTCAGAGATGGGTATTCCATTGGCATCTAAATACTATAGGTGCTTGAATTCAGCAAAATAATCCAACACAGTCCAGCAGTCCACAATAGTAGTAGGTTATCCGCAGAAGTTGTTGACTTGAGCCTTTCACAGCTCCACATATTAATATGCCTTTACTTTATATACCTTGTTTTTATATTTTTCTGCTGGATGGTTAAGATCAAGACAAAGCAAGACCTATGTAACAAGAAATGTAACTTTTTTTTTATCTGAAAAGGTCAGTCAAGTACCCTCAGGATTTATCCTAAAACCCTGTACCACAGTTTGTAGATTCTTTGTCAGTATCAGCCATGTGGATGAGTCATGGCCATTGCTTGACCAATTTGCTCTCTGTGAAAGCTTGAGAGATTGTCTTCTCACCATGTCACTCTCCTTAGGCACACTCTATGTCATCGATCACATTGCTCTGTGGCCCCATAATCTCCTTGATCAGAAAAATTTGGGAAACAACTAAGTTACATGATGTTACAGTACAGTTTCTTCTATGTCCTGAGTCTTCACTGACCTTGAAAGGCTAGGGTCAGAATGTTGGTTGTCCTTACAGCCCTTCTATTTCTCTAATTTTTGGTCTGCAAACTTAGGTTGTAAACCCTCCAGAAGAGAAGCTTATTATTACCCTACAACATATGCAGTTGGGTTTAACTTCACTATCTGTCTGTGAATATCAAACATCTTAGGTATAACTTGGAACAGGTATTTTCCATCAAGTATTGATATGTTAAACTTTAAGTCCCTACAGAATATGGAGATAAAAATTTAAAAACTGAAAAAATATTTAAAGACTATGAAAAAACAATCACATATTTTTACACAGAGATTTAGAAACCTAACCATATACAGCATTGTAGCAGGAAAGTCCTGTGACTTTTTTTTCTCTTCTGTCTTTTTTTCATTTATTATCCATTAAAAACAAAGAAACATTTACTTGAGAGACAGTATGTTAATAATTGGTATGTAATGCCAAGAATTATGTATTTAGAAGATCAGAATGACAGGCATTCCTGTCAAGAGTGACCCTTCTATTACACATTACTATCTTCAGTGCAGTCTGAGCATTACCTCTGATAGAGACACAGAAGCCTGAACATATGGGGTTTCATGCCATAATTTTAGTTTTTTTCGCAAAAACACTGTAAATGAAGAATAGTCTCATTCTATTGAAAGCATCCTACTCTACCCATCTCTCACCATTTCCCAGTTCATACTGAACCCAAGCCATGTTGCAATAGTAGGTAAGCTGTTTCCATTTTATATCAGAAGATCAGCTTTTCTCACTCTTCTAGGATCTCGGCTGGAGTGAAGTTGGTGAGCTCCGTGCATTGAGGTTGAAGAAGCTCCCTATGGCTCCTGGGGGTTTGGCTTCTTAAATGTTGTCCCATGTAGAGGGAGGAGACCTGAGAATCTCTACAAAGTGTCCCTTGTAAGACTAGCATTTGCTAGGCAGACATATCTGTCCTAACTTTAGTGTGATGCACCATCTTTCACAAAAGCACAGAAGGCCTATGGAGGCATTTCCCCCTAGAGAGAAGGGTACTGGGCCACTGAGGGGCTTACCTAGTCACCTAGTCCTTTGGCTCCCATGAGATAAAGGCAGAGCCCCCCCCCAACAAATGGGGTTTCCTTAGCCACCCCGTTGAGCCACTCACTGGCTCCTTCTTAAGCAGAGTGAAGCCACTTGGGAAAAATATCTCTTGCATTTATCTGATAGTAAACTCTTTAAGATCAAGGATGGCTCAAATCTTGCATGCCCAGTCATTGTCATTAAGTTTTAAACACCGTTCATTTGTTCTGCTTTTGCTGCCAGGCATGTGTTTTAAAATTACTTGCATTTTGTTAGAAGAAATAAAGAAAGGATCCAACCAGGAAGCAATAGTTCCACGTGCATGCTTGGACTCAAGATGAGAATCTGGAGAGAAAAGTTGTGGGAATTTTTAGACAGATGAATTTTTTCTCTGCTGTGTGGGAAGACACTGTGACAGTTAAAATAATTCAAAAGAAGAAAGGAAAGTCACATGTTTTCAAAATCAGAAGCCTAATGCCTATCTTCAAGGTGAGTGTTTAGAAGACCAGTTGGTAAAAAAAGAAAAAAATAACAACAGTAGACACAAGACAGTGTCTAGCTGAATAACAAGACACCAGACTCCTTCCTGGCTGCAGGACAGTCTCTGGGCCAAAACAACAAACCTACTTGCAAAGCTACTGAGACTTTGGATCCAAAAGGTGTAGCAAAATATGGCAACTAGACACTCAATAACAAAGCATACCAAACTTGTTGCACACATAGTACAGCAAGCTGTCTGGCTACTTAACACATATTCACAGAGAGAATGCAAATAAGAAGAAAAAGTCTATTGCAGTCAGAAGAACTACAAGGGGTAGGCAAACGGTTCATGAACAAAATCAAACTGCATGGATAATACTTGAAAGAATTAGCAACTGGAAATGCCTCTTATTGAGAAGTTTTTGCACATCAAAAGAAATTACCAACAGATTGAAAAGAAAACCCACAAATTTGGAAAAAATCTTAACTAATAAGCACTCAAAGGTCTGCTCTCTAGAATTTACAAAGAACTAAAAAACATTAGGGCTCCAAAATTCAAAGACCCAGTCCAGAGATGGGTATCCAAGATGAACACACACTTCTCAGAGGAAGAAATTATAGAAGCGAATAAATATATGACAAAATGCTCCATATCACTAGCCATCTGTGAAATGCAAATTAAAACAACACTGAGATACCATCTCACCCCAGAAAAAATGGCTATCATAAAGGAATCACCCAATAACAAATGTTGGAGAGGATGTGGGAAAAAGGAACCCTTCTCCACTGCTGGTGGGAATATAGACTGGTGCAACCATTATGGAAATTAGTGTGGAAACTCCTTAAAAAACTAGGACTGGAAATCCCATTCAATCCAGCTATACCCCGTACTGGGAACTTTCCTGGAGGATCTTAAAACATCATGTCGTAGTGATATATGTGTACCTATGTTTATAGCAGCACAATTTGTGATAGCCAAATCTTGGAAACAACCAAGATGCCTGTCACCTGAGAAATGGATGAAAAAGATGTGGTATTTTTACACAATGGAGTATTACTCAGCTATAAAGAATGATAAACCTGAAGCCTTCATATTTAAGTGGATACCACTTAAAGATATACTCATAAGTGAAATAAACCAGACCCACATGTGTAAATATTGTATAGTCTCCCTAGCATAAGAATTCAAAAGAAGAAATAAAAAGAGAAAGGTATAATGCCATTAAAAGGAAAATGAGAATTTATGGATTAGACAATGAGGAGAAGGCAATGAGAAAAGCTAGGAAACATGATAGGGGCAAAGTGATACATTTATATGCACAAGATGGCTAAGGCAATGATCCTGAGAATCTTCAGCAGGTTTTTGAAACTAGCAGTCAATTGGTAGGATTCTCACCCTGACTACCTATATATGCTGATACCTGTGAACTAAGCAGCTGCACTGAAGATAGCAATGTGTAATGGTAGGGTCATGCTTGGAATGCCTGTCATTCTGGTCTTCTAAATAAGTACTGCTTGTCATGTCATACCAATTACTGCTATACCTTCTCTCAAGTAAATGTTTGTTTTTTAAAAAGTGTAATAAATGAAAACAGACAAAAAAATGTCATAGGACTGTCCTGCTACAGTGTTGTGTATGGTTAGATTTCTAAATTTCTGTGTAAAAATATTTAATTGTTTATTCCTATTTTAAAATATTTTTTTCTTTTTCTCCCTTCACATTCTATAGGGATTTAAAGTTTAACATATCAATACTTCATGGAAAATACCTGTTTCATGTTGTGTCTAAGATGTTGGATATTCAGATAGTGAGGTTAAGCTCAACTGCCTATGTTTTAGGATAATATCATTAAGCTTTTTTTCTGGAGGGTTTACAACTTGTTTGCAGACCACAAATTAGAGAAAAAGAAGGGCTGTAAGGATAGCCAACATTTTTACCCTAGCCTTTCAAGGTCAGTAAGGACTCAGGACATAGGAGAATCTATACTGTAACATTCTGTAACTCAGTTGTTTCCCAAATTTTCGGATCAAGGAAATTACAGGGCCACAGAGGAAAGTGATTGATAATGTGGAGTGTGCCTAAGGAGAGTCACATGGAGAGAAA